GGGTTACTTAGAAAGAAAATTAGCATCAAAGCTTGGCAGTAAATTCAGGGGCTTTTGGAGATAGTCCAAGCTGTTTCACCTGTGATTAATTAGATGGGGTTTTTTTCCCCCCTTTTAGTGCCAGAAGGCTGTTGAGGTCTTTAAGCATTTACATGACTGCTAGCAGAGCTGCATTATGATTGATGTGGGTGTCTGGAGTCACAAGGCTGTAGGCCAGCTTTTTGTTGTTGTTATTGGTAGTGCTGGTAGTGGAGTATGTATGTGTGTGTGTGTGTGTAAGAGAGAGAGAGAGAGACAGACATGTAGACAGAGACACACAGAGAGAGGCAGAGAGACAAAGAGATAGAGAAATAGAGAAAGACTTGAACATCAAGAGCTTGGAGAAACTTCAAGGGTTTTAAAGACACAATGAATAAATGTCTTTAATGTTTCTGTAAGTGTTATTTAGAAGCTTCCAGGCAGGATTTCTTATTAAAATATTTCAGCAGGTTAAGACATACTGATTTTGCAAGTGTCTTCCTCTCTCCATTAGTCACTCTGGAGTTGAGTTCTCCTTATGGGACACACTGAGGGATGGGTATTTCTAACAATCATGTGTGTGTGTGTGTGTGTGTGTGTGTGTGTGTGTGTGTTAAAATATTTTAACATATGTTAACATATATACATATATGTGTGTATATATTTATATTTATATATATGAAAATCTAAGCAGCCAGACATGTTTTTAAAAAGCCCATATCTGACTAACGTGTCATACTTGTAAAAACAAAAGCAAAGAAAGTGGTCTCCTTGAGTAATTTGTTAAGTATAAAATTATCCTCCACAATGAGATGTACAAGTTGTTATGTCGAAAAACGAACTTTGCAACTTTGGTGGGGAGTGGGGGGAGGATTGGGTGGGGGGAGGGGAGAGTATGGGAAGGGATGGGAAGGGGCAACATAGAGGAGGCAACAATGCTTGATAAAAAAATGTACCCGTTATCTTGTCCATATAATTGTAACTCCTCTGTATGGCATTCTCACAATAATAAAAAAAATTATCCCCCAAATCCGGCAATAAAGTCAAACCTGTTTTTGTATTGAAGAAAGTGAATTCTCTCTCCTTTTTTTTTTTTGTCAGTCAAGGCTTGAACAGAGGGCCTGGGCACAGTTCCTCAGCTCTTCAGCTCAAGGCTAGCGCTCTACCACTTGAGCCACAGGGCCACTTCCAGCTTTTTTCTGCTTATGTGGTGCTGAGGAATCGAACCCAGGGCCTCATGAATGCAAGGCAAGCGCTCTACCACTGAGCCACCTTCCCAGCTCTCTCTCTCTCTCTTTCTCTCTCTCTCTCTCACTCGCTCTCTCGCTCTCTCTCGCTCTCTCTCGCTCTCTCTCGCTCGCTCTCTAGCTCGCTCGCTCGCGCTCTCTCGCTCGCTCGCGCTCTCTCGCTCTCTCTCGCTCTCTTGCTCTCTCTCTTCTTTTCACAATGATTGTATCAAGGATGCACAGGAGAAGATTAATGATTGTGCTGAGTGTTAGCGGCTCAGGACTGTAATCCTAGTTGCATAGGAGACAGAGCTGAAGATTGCTTGTTCAAAGCCAGCCTGCACAGTCCAACACGTGAGACTCAATTCCAGTTAACCAATCAAATTCTGGAAGTATAGAAGTGCCTCAAGTCTTAGAGCTTCAGTCTGGAGAGAAAAAGCAAGTCCAAATATAACTAAGAAGAGACAGAGACAGAGAGACAGAATATGAGTGACCGTTTAATTATCAGTACCCATTTAACATTTTTTCTTTACTCTCTGTGTGAAACATGTATAAAAGAATCTTTACACCGTGATGCAGTTATAGTAGAAACTTACAATATTTCCCAGGATTACTGAAGTCTATATCCACTACTAAGCTCCTAGAATTGAGATTAGCAGATAGCAGCCATTGCCCCATAAATCTATATTGACCATTTCAATATTGAGACAACTTAATAAGGGCTGGGGGAATGGCTCAAGTGGTAGTTTGCTAGCCTGTCTTGTGCAAGGCCCTGGTTTCAATTCCAATACAGGGGGAAGCATCTGATGTTTATTGTCCCTTGAGGACAGAAGTATCAGTCAGGTGAGTTGTTACATAGATCTTTCATGTCATTATCAGTGTGGTTCAGAGTTCTGGCCAGCAAGATTTCTATGAAAGGCTAGAAAATGAATATTCTAGGCTTGTGAGCCATTAGATTATTCTTGCAAAACTACTCAGTTTTTTTTTCTTAATATATATTTTTATCGTAAACATACTGTACAGAGGGGTTACAATTACATGAGCAAGGTAATCAGTTCTACTGTTGTAAGAGAAAACAGCCTTGGTTAAGAGGTAAACGAATGGATGCATCTGCTTTCCAAGGAAGGATGCCTGGTGAACCTCTGGCCCTGAGCGCTGTGTCTCAGATTTAATGAGCATGTGAAACACTTGGGGATCTTGTTAAACAGGAGATTCTGATTCAGCAGGTCAGTCACAGGCCTGAGATGTCATTTCTAATACACTACCCACTAAAGTGAGATCCAGTGTCCCCTTCTTCATTTCCCAGGCATTCCCAGTAAGAGCAAGGCTCAGAGAACTCAGGTTCAGAGATGGCAGGGGTCTTAATTCTTTGAGCATTTTGCTGTAGGACTAGTGTTAGTGTTCAACCTTTCAAATCCATCATCTTTGAAGACTAGCACTGTTCCCTGTGAGGGAGAGCCAAGACCTCTGTCTTGTGTATGTCACCTTCCTGGTTTTGACCTATAAGATAAGCTAAGTTCTCACAGTCCTTACTGGACAGGTGATTCCGCCATGCTACAGCTGCAAGAGCCCCTAGACATCAAAGTCCTTTAGACAGTTCCTCTACCACGCCATGCCCTTTCCCTCTTCAGCACTGAGGGCTCTAACTGCAGAGCAGAGGGCCCTCTGGCCCCTGCCTAATTGGCTGCAATGCAAGAGCTAATGTAGGTTGAGAGACCAATTAACTGGGCTTGTCTCTACCAAGGCTGCATCTGAACATCAATTATGCTAAACAACATGCTGGATTAAGACATTTCCCTGCCACTATCATTTGCTATGGGACACTTCAGAGCAGGGCCAAAAGGAGCTGCCTCTCACTGTCTGCCTGAAGGATTCTTTCTTCTCACTGCGGCACAGGGCTGACAGTGGGGAGAGCAGTTTGAGAATGAGGCAAATCACTAAGCGGGGAAACTACCGACACTAATTGGCTACTTTCTCTGGGTCTCTATCTCCAGACCTTGGGGATTACAGTCCAAAAAGCTGAGAAAAATTTCAGTGAGAGATACTGGTAATCCATATGCATGCCCCATTCATTCCACTAAGAAACGAAAAGTACAAGTATCAGAATGTTCAAAGGATACTTTGCCCAGTTTTAGTCAGTGAGTGAGTTCAGTCAATTAATTATCTCAACGGTTGGGAAGATAGTTGCATTTTCTTTCATGGGTTCAGCTAGTATTGTGTTCACTCCTCTCAAACCATCCCATCTTGTCCATCATTCTATCCCTTCCTATCTATCATCCCAAACAATTCCATCCATCATCCCATCCCACCCATCATTCAATTCCATCCCACTTTACCTCACCTCAACTCATGCTTCTCCCTTAGAATTCACCAATTTGTTTTCACATCAACATGTTCATATTTAAGTAGCTCAGTTTATTTAATGGGTTCTAATTATGCAGCTCCTTTACATACAGAGTCACCACTAAGAAACAAAATCCTCAGCCTGGAGATAACAGTTGGGTTGGAGAGATTGAATTACTTCATTTTCTCGGTCATACATGCACTCAACAAACATGTATTACTCAGTCATTAGATTTCAGGTTTTTGCTAAGTTATAGGAACTGTTCTTACCCTAAGTAAATGAGATGTGTTAGTTGTGTTCACATGACTATAATTGGACAGCTTCTAAAGGGAAGTACAAAATGTACCCCCCAAAATGTGTGTCACAACTTTGCAATGTAATGTAACTTTAAAGCCAGATGTGATTCTGTCACCATGCCCCATATTGCTTATTTGAAATGGCTACCCCTCTTGTTCAACTTTTTTGAAACTTCAAGAGAAATCAGTATCAAGCTTATGCTCCCTCAAGCTCCAACCATTGTATTAACATCTAGTCTCACCCACTTTTCTGGTCTTGCAGGAAGAGCTGTTCTTTCTCTTGCTTAAGACCATTCCCTCCACTTGTTCTTTTGATCAGTGCTCTTGGTTCTTCTAAACTTTATTGCATCTGCAATTCTTGAAGTCATCTGGACTTGGTTCCTTCATTCTATCATAAAATTGTGAACGTTTGTCTTCCCTAAAACAAGGTGCTCTCTGGAGCTACACTTCCCTCCCTTTTCTTGCTGTGCAAGCCTAGAATTCTTGCTTCTGAGCTTGTTTTTCCCTTTTGTCTATCTTCCATGTCTTGTTCTTCAAATACTGCTTTGGTTCCTGCACTCCAAGGAGACGGTTCTGACAAAAGGCCCTGCCATTTTCCTGCCCTGAGCCCAATGTTCTATTTACGCATTTTACTCCATCTTTCTTGATCATGACCCAGTATTTTACATTGCTGGCCATCCAATTCTCTATCTAGCCTCCCTCTAGTTTTCCTCCAATATGTCAAACAATACTTCTTCTATTCTTTGCTGATCTATATTTTTTGTGTGCCACTTAAATGTTGTGTTTTCCACACATCATTTTTCCTTTGACCTCATCTCTGTACATCCCGTCCACACAGTGATCCTTCTAATCACCTGGTTTTTCATCATCTGCTGACTTTCAAAATGCATTTCAGTCAATCCCAGTCCTTGGAGCCTCAGCCCCATCTACCTGCCACTCAGGCATCTCCACTCATTCTAAACTCAGCAAATTTCCACCACAACCTGATAAACTGTGTCTTCGTGGATGACAATATCATTTGAAACTTGGATGTTATCTACTTTTTCTTTTTTCTCACTGTGACACCCAATCGATTAATAAGTCCTGTCAACTGTATTTTCTAGCATCCAATTACACCTATCCTCTCTTTTCCATTCCTATCAGTCCTGCCTTAGTATAGGCCTCATCATCTTTTGTTTGGACAGGGGCAATTAGATTATCATCTGATTTACTTGCCTTTGATATATCTGATCTTACAACCCACTCTTCCAGGCTACCTGATACATTGCAGCCAAGGTTGCTTTTCTAAAATAGAGTTTTGATTGGAAATAAAAGCATGCATAAAATTTCTGTGGCTGTCCACTGACTACTGTGGTTGTCACTTTGCAGAGATAAGGTTTAGCAGAGCCAATTTGTGTGTGAATGTGTGTGTGTGTGTGTGTGTGTGTGTGTGTGTGTGTATGTGTGTCATGAGGGGTAAAAAGAGGGGGTGCTACTGTTTGGACCTCAAATTTCTTCCAACTGTCCCTGTATTTATTAAAGACTTGGCCTCTAGCTTGGTGCTATGAGAAGTGGAGAAAATTTTAATAGGCATGGCTTAGTGGGAGCTTTTAGATCATTGAGACATGACCTTGAAGGGGTTGGGGGGACTGTGTTCTCTTCTGTGTCTTTCACTCCCATCCCTAAGGGAGTACTTCTACTTTGCCACATACTCCTGCCACAATGTAAAACCATAGGCTCAAAGCAATGAGGTTAACAGGTCTTGGGCTAAATAGACCCTCTGAAATTGTGACCCAAAATAAACCTTTCCTCATTAGAAGTTGATTTGCTCAGGTATTTGTTATGTTGATAGCTTATTAACAGGGTAATTAAGAACTTTGAATTTTAGACTTCCTCTTTCTGCCTCTTCCTCTTACCCACTATTGTGCTAGGAAATGTTTAACTGAAAGCTCTCCACAAATTAAATCAAAACAGAACAAAACACCTCCAATCCTTATTTGTAGAGTTCATTAATTGCAACTGTATAGATGCTTCCACAATGGTCGATTTCAAGCTACTTTAGAATTGACGAAGTGATTGCTTGGGTTTGAAAGCAGATGTCTATTCAGAATCCCGGCTGCTCATGGATTTTTAGAAGAAATGCATACAAGTACCTCTCATAAGCTGGTGGAAGCCAGTTCTAGTACACTTCTGCCTTCACTTCCTCAACCATCCCAGGTTCTCAACAATAGAGATTTTACCTTTATCTGTAATGTATTACCCTTACTTGTGAGCCAAGAATGGCAAACAAGTTTTAACTCATGAAAACTGTGATCAGCAGTTGATGTCTGTCCAGAGATCTTTAAGCAAGAAATTTTCAAGTTGCCTCTAGGTTCAGAGAATGCAGTGCTGTGATCATTTAGTAATGTCTGCTGCAAGTATGAAAATCTACAATGGCTGCCTGTGCTATGTATTCTTCTGATAGCTGCAGTGAGGATGTTTTGAATAAAAATTTCCTTAAGCACCTGGAAAATAAAGTTATGTCATAAAGCCAGAACTTGTAGTCTGAAATGCAAAGTCCTCCATTCTCTGCTCAGGTCTGATTCTTTGGCCTGATCTTTCATTCCACTCTCCAACACTCCAACATTCCAGCAGCCTTAATCATCTTGGAAACCTAAGGTTCTTGGAAAACCTGTGGGTTTTTATAACTGCTCTACTCACTCTGTCAACATTGCTGGTGGTGGGTCCTTTCAGGATTTTGTCATCTGCAGAACACTTACTTGAATCACTTGTACCCTGTAATCCAGGGGTAATTTCCAAGGCAATCTGGATACTTATAACACCATTCATAGACCATTCTAAATTATCAACACAGTTAGAGGCAAGAAGCCCATCAGAAGCACACTTGTCTGTCCTATCAGGTGCAGACAGGCCTTAGAATGGCTACCAGAAGTGGGGAACGTTTTCATCCCCTTTTACTACAACCAATGTTATTTTTTATTTTATTTTTTGTTTTATTGGTACTGATTATTTCAGGGCCTTTCAATTGCTAAGCAAATATTCTACTGCTTCAGTCACAGCTAAACTTTACCTTTTTCCTTTTTCTTGTGCCAATCCTAGGTCTTGAACTTAGTCCTGGTCACTGTCCCTGAGCCTTTTTGCTCAAGGCTACCACTAGTATATTTTCTTTGAAAAAAATAGCATCATCCATGATGTCTGACATCATTCAGATGCTAAGGTAAAAGGAAAGAGGAAAGAAGATCTTTGCTACAAGGTCAGCACAAGTCAGCTATTAAGAATGTTTATGTCTTTACAAATGATTGGCATATTTCTTCCATAATGACTTCTTCCTTTTAAACTGTTCTTGCTCCTTTGTTTCACCTAGCTTCTATAATCAAGATACCCAGTCTAAGGGAAGCGGGAATCTTGGTAGGAGAATTTGACAAACCCTACCTCATTCCGAGATGAACACAAACTGAAGCACACTGGGACTTCAGCAAGTCAGTGCAAGACTGTGCAAACTAATGAGATCCTGAGCTCTACTTACAAAAGACGAGGTGGCACTGCCGCTCTCTGCTGCCCTACAAGTTAATGTCTATTTTTCTTTCTGGAGGACAAGGAGGCACAATGAAGCTGCTTTGGCTCATGGCTGATATCTCATCATGCTGAAGTCCTGTACTGTGCTCGCCTGGAGGCAGCTTCCCAGATGGCCCTGACTCTGTGTATAAAGCAACACATCTATAACTTTTTCCCAACTGTGTCCAACTGGATTACTCCTTTCTACGCAAGAATGTATGTCATTGTCAACATCAAAAAACGTCTCTGCTTTGTTCTGGCAGCACCTGCCTTACTGATTGACGTCTTCCCAACAGCTCACTCACACAAAGCGTTTAAACTGGTATGACTTCAAAAAGCAAGGTAAGACAAGCCACGTCAAGCAGGAATGTACACACCTAATATGATTATTTCTCCTCTTCCTGGTGATAATAAAATTATGCAAAAGCTACCTTGACCCAGTAAGGATTTTCTCTTCAAAATCAAATCTCTGCCCACCCATCTCACAGCTCCTCCCCTTTTCCCCTTAGGCTTTCTACCTCCTCATTTGTGCATGGCAGCCTTCCTTTTTTTTTGTACCATCTTGCAAGTCCAAGGGTTTTCTGTCAGTCAAGTATAGAAACACAGTGGAAAAAATGACCCCATCTTTTAAGTAAGTAACTGATGAGAAAAAAACCCCTTCATTTATTAACTTATTCTGAAATGTTTATACAACATTTCTAATATGACTACAATCAGCTACATACAGTTTAATGAGTGACACATGACTGCCCTAGGACATCCTCATTTCCCAGCTTCCCAAGTGACCTGGGGACATGTCAGAAACTGTGATCTTGCCACTTGAGTACAACCAACAGTGACCAGTAGCTGTTGATGGATGATGGACAGTAAGAGTCCTTGGAGGAAAGACACAGATCAGTTTTTAAGAACCAATAGGCTCTGGGCCTGGTACCTGCCCTTGACCTCTATGTGCTACTTTAGAAGGAATGTGCCAATTTCTCATGAGCATCTGGTAGAGGAGATGTTATTAGCCAATGGAGCCAATGGAGCCAAAGTGGAGCCTGGGCCTCTCTGCTATTAAACCAGCTTCTTTCTTCTTTCTGCATGGCTTATAGGACTGGGACTTGTGTTGTCCCCACTACCTCTGCAGAAAGACAGTATTTTTCAGATGGGGTTGGTTTGGTTTACTTGGTTAGGGTTATTCAAAGGCAAGGGAACAAAATAAGAATGCATGAGGATAGGCGTAGGAGAATGCAGGAATGACTTAAGAAAGTACTGTATTAGCTGCATAATTTTTAATAGTTCTACTCTAAATGCATAGACTAAGAAGAGGCATAATTTCTGAAAAATATTTTCAAAAGTATAATTTATTTTAGATTTTTTTTGAGTATGAATTCCTTGAACTAGGGAGATTTTCTTTGAATCTCCTATCAGAATCCTGAACATAATGATGTCCAAACATAGTATATCTTTGATAAAGTGATGAGCTGCTATTATCTTGACTTGTATTTATTCATGTCTGTATAGGGCAAAAACCTCAGGACATATGAACTTACTTATGAATTAGTTAAGTGATGTTTTGTAAAATATTAGAAAGTCTCATTGTGGTATAAGAGGTCATGCATTCTTCATTTATTCAATTGATATGTATTTAAAATTCTGATATTTGTGAAGCAGTCTTGTCAATATTATAGTAGCAAATGAGACAAATGGGTCTTTTACAAAACTTCACTTAAACCTACTTAAATCTTAAAATAGGATATGTTTAAGAGGCCAGAAAAATAGTCGAGTTGTTTAGTAATGAGCTAGAGTGATAAAGTGATGGCAGTTCTCTGAGGGAAAATAGCAGTCCAAACCAAAAATGTTAGAGGCAAAAATGACCAAACTGGCTATGGACCTTTGGAAAAGGATGGTAAGGGTTGATTCTTAGTGTGGACACATAGGGGCAGAATTAAATAAGATGTAGAATAATGGTAGAAGAGAGTAAGGGTCATGGGAAAGGTATAATTCATTGTTCTTTCTCAGTTATATTGAATTCCAGAAGCTACCAACACATCATGGTGTCAGTAGACAAAATGCAACTTAGGGGAAACATAAGGCTACAAATAGAAGTTGAGGGTCATTTGTATCTAGCAGGCATTTGACATTGCAGACTTAAATAAGGTGCTCAAGAGGATAATAAATATGGAGCCAGGCACTGGTGGCTCATGCTGGTAATCCTACCTACTCAAGAGGCTGAGATTTGAGGATCATGATTTGAAGCCAGTCTGGGCAGACAAGTTCCGATAAGACTCTTACCACCAATTAATCACTCAAAAACCAGAAGTGACACCATGGCTGTAGTGGTAGAGCACAAGCCTTGAGCACAAAAAGCCTCAAGGACAGCACCCAGGCCCTAAATTCAAGTACCACAGCTGACAATAAATAAATTAATAAGTCATTAAGGAGAAGAAGCAGTCTAGATCTGAGCTCTGGAACATAACAAGATCTAAAGGATAAACAGCCAGATCTGCCCAATATTTTGGGGAGGTTATGCCCAATGAGAAATGAACAAAGCAAAGAGCATGAGCTCCTATAAAAGTAAAATAGTGTGTTTTTATTTCTTACACTATAGTATGCATAAAATATTGCCAAGAGAGCAATTGAAGTGAGAATAGTATATTAATGATAATATATAGCCATTAATGACCACAACAGGTGTTTAGTAGAATCATCTGACAAAACAGACCAAATGGAGTGACTTTCAAAAAAAAGAATGATACACTATATGGAAAACGAACTATATAACTTGTGGGCAGAGATGGAGGTGGAGGTGGAGGGGACCTGGGAAAAAGTGAAGGACGTAGTGACAGTGTCCAAAAAAGAAATGGACTCATCACCTGACTTACGAAATGGTAACCCCTCTGTACAGCATCTTCATATTAATAAAATTGTTATAAAAGAATGAATTAATAAATAAATCATCTATGAACAATAATTTTCATTGGAAAATGTATTTTAAAGACTCGAAAATAACCTTTGCCATATGGCTTATCTAGTATCTCACCTGGAGAGTAGTAGGCGTTGCTAGAATACCCTCTGCAATATACTTACCTTGCACCTAGCTCCCTTAAGATCAGAGTGATTCAGGGGTAATATGCACTTGTATGATAGTATTGGCTAACTATATTGTGTATATATATGTAATATATTACATGTTTTATATAATTAAGTATAAATTACAAATATTATTAAAATCAAAATGCAATCGATATTTTTGAATTCGACACCCATAGGTTTAACCAGAATAAAAACACATTTTTCTCTTGCTATTATTCTCTACATAATGAAATATGATTTAAGAGAATTTATTATGTATGAGATGAAAAAAATCTATGTATGATTTAAAGCACATGAAAGCATGTGTTGGGGTTAAATGTAAATATTGACCATTTTATCTATTTATTTGGGCTGTTGGTGTCTGTGGCAGCTCCTGGAAGCAACGCCCATGAGTGCTAGGATGACTGTACTTCCATGGCGATTGGTCGACACTAGTTTAAGAAAAACTCTAGCTCTACCAAATGGCTCCTACTGTATTGTGATACAAAATACAACTTGACAATGTGGGAAGGGTTGCTGATCAATACTCTGGTCCCTAAGTACAGGCGTTATTTAGTGCAGAGTACTAGTGCTAGTAATCTACATGTTTCAGGTAGGACTTCTGCCTATGTATATAGTTTCATATGTTATCTATCTAGCTAGCTAGCTAGCTAGTTAGCTAGCTATTTATCTATGGATTATGTGTAAGTCTATATAGATTATCATTATCTGTGTATAACATATTGCACTTGTATGGTAGTATTGCTAATCTAGAGATTAGATTGATAGATAAATAGATAATCTATATAGATAGATATAGATATATAATCTCAATAGGTAGGTGGGTAGGTAGATAGATAGACAGACAGACAGACAGACAGATAGATAGATAGATAGATAGATAGATAGATAGATAGATAGATAGATCCATTTCACTTGGATTTCACATGGTTACTTTGTGTATAACTATTAAAAGAGACTTCTGAACAAAATTCCTGACTGCATAGCAGGTACTGCCATTTCTCAAGTATCTGTATCCTGTTCTCTTTTCTCAGAAGCAGATTTTTTAAAATCATTACTTTCTGCAGGCTAGGCTGGAGGATTCCATATACCAGTCCCTGTGAGTCAGCTGATATCCTTGTTTGAAGGCTCTTAATTTATATCAAGTTCAATCACTGAGCACAAACAAAATCCATGAGATAGATCAACCGACCACTCAGAAGAA